CCGTGCTCCAGGGCCCTCCAGCATCACCTCTCCCGTGCTCCAGGACTCTCCAGCATCACCTCTCCCGTGCTCCAGGGCTCCCCAGCATCACCTCTCCTGTGCTCCAGGGCCCTCCAGCATCACCTCTCCTGTGCTCCAGGGCTCTCCAGCATCACCTCTCCTGTGCTCCAGGACTCTCCAGCATCACCTCTCCCGACACTCCCACTCCCACTCCACAGTGCCTGCTCGTGCTCTCCAGTCCCTCAGACACATTCACGGTTACCATAGGAACTAATGAAACCCGGACTGAAGAAAAGGGAGAGCCAGGCCGAGGGAAATCCGCTGTGATGGCCCCGTGCCCCCCGCGTGGGTGAGTTTATGCTGACTGCGGGCCATGGAGCCTGGCAGGGCTTGCCCCGCAGCTCTCAGCCGGCTCTGGGGCACGCCAGGACCGAGCGCTGGGGCCGCCCGCCCCGCTCTCCGCAGGTCGGTGCCGATGTCTGCAGCAGCACGAGGCTCCCTGAGGTGCTCCAGGCCCTGCAGAAAGCTCAGATTTTCGGAAATAACTTATACAGGGAAAGAAAACTCCCGATGCCTTGTGCATCTGTGCCACGGGTTAAACCAGGACACTCAGAGGCTGCAGCAACTACAAGAGAGCGCTAAAAACCCGAAAGTTTGGGTTTATAATGCTTTTATAATTTTAAAAGCTTTTACAAATACAAAACGTGGCTCTGACTGAGGCACAATTACAGAACCACTTAATGCAGCAGCCTACTCGCAGACCAGAAGCACCACGGGGTTGTGGGAAGCATTAGCTGCAAACAGCAGTGATGTTCATCAAAAGCTCCAAGGAAACTCCCTCCTCTGGCCAGGGCAGGAAAGGTAGAGATAGAGAAACGAGGCCCCAGAGCCTCAGCCTGCCCAGGCAGGAGCACGGCAGCGTGCCCACAGTGCTGGCACAGCACTCCAAGCACGGCATTAGCTGCCTGGCACGGTGGAGGCAGGAGGGGACAGGGGGTTTCTGCTGCAGAACTGCTGCAACAGCCTTTGGAAAAGATCAGGGCACAGTGTACAGCAGAGTGCAAAAAGCAGCTCAGTCTTTCTCAGCTTCATGGAAAAAGGAAAGTCTGCAGAGAATTCCCTCCACTCCCCAAAGTGGTAAGCATTGATTTAAACTTCTCATTAGTTCAGCACAACCTGAGCAATGAGCTGGTGCTGCTGTACCATTTACAACGGGCATTTGCCGGCTCGGCTCGTTCAGGCAGCAGCTCCCCCAGGCTTTCCGGATACTTTTCCATTAATGAATAATTTGCACAAAAGATTATAGAGGGAAACCACATGAGCCATCACCCTATGCATTGCCTGGAGCCCAGGGGAGGCTTGCTCAGAGCATTTCTGTATCAGCACAAGGGTGTAGCTGATAGCGCTGGAGCTGCATGTGTGTCAAAACAGGGAACCTGACCTGGGGCTGCAGGAATCCAGGACCCAGAATCCAGCAGAGGGGAGGACAAAGCTGGTGGGAACAGGAGGCAGGTCCCAGACAGCCACGAGTGCTGGGGGAGCTGAGAGCACTGGTGCCACTCCCAGACCTTCACCACCTTCTCTTCCCCATCAGCTGAGGACATACCCCAGCAGGGATGGTGACCTCACACAACTCACCCCAACACAGCACAGGACCTGGCCCAGCAACTGCCTTGCCAGAGCTGCACAGCCCACACCACCCAGCAGTGTCAGGCAGTGTCCAGAAAGTGGCAAATCCAAGATGGACCCACCAAGAACACTGCCAGTCCACAGACCCTCCTGGACAGCAGCAGCATCCCCACCCCCTTCAGAGCAGTGCCCAGAGCCTCTCAGCTGGGTCACAGGCACTCACTGTTCCACTGACACTCACCACTTCTCCAGATTGAAAAACAAAATACAAAACCTCCAGACTTCACTGGATTTACACCCAGAAGCTCAGTGCCGGCCTGACCCACTGATTCCCACCCCCGTTACCCCCGAGGCAGAGCTGGTGCCCTGTGGGTTGCCCCATGCACACCTCAGCCCACTGATCTCACAGTGATCATGTCACCGTGTTTGCTGGCATCTCCCAGCGCCTGATTCACTTCAGGCTTCCAGGAGAACAGACTGTGGGACACGCACGAACACGTGTCCTGGAGTGGGCGGGCATGGCTGGACTCCACTGCACCAGCTGGAGCCCAGCTCCCAGGAAAGCGTCCTCCACACACCGAGCCAGCTCCCAGCACCACGCACCCCATGGAAATCACATGAGAGAAGAGCCAGGTACTCACTTGATCTTCAGGCTGGCCAGCATTTTCTTGTCGATCCTGAGGAGAGAGCAGAGGAGGGCGTTACTGCAGGCACAGGGGCTCCAGATGTAGCTGGGAGGGGGCTGGGTACTGGGGGCTGCTGCCAAACACAACCTGAGCACATCCATTGGGGGTTCCAGTGCTGTGGCTGACACGATGATCGCCACAGAAAGATCAACAAAATCAACCAAGATTTAACCCAAAATGAAGTCTGGCAGCAAGCAAGAAAAGATCTCCCTAGGTCTTTCCTGGTGCAGAATTGCTGCCTCCCAATCTGGAATGCCAGAGGTGTGCTGGGAAGCAGAAGAGGGCATCACCTGTGTCCCAACTCTCTCCAAAGCACAGCTATCACAAACCAAGTATTTACAGATAATGGGCCTGTGCTGGGAAGATCCCCCCAAACCCCACATATTGCAACCCAGAGCCAGGCAGACAAAACACAGAGCAGCCCCTTTGCTCCCAGCCCTGGCTGGCTCATGTGGGACCAGCAGCCCCAGTTGTTTCACTCATTCTGGCACTGGTAATGAGTGCTCATCTCCTCACAATCATTGTGGTTACAGTCATATTAATATTAATTAATGCAAATCATAGTAATGTCTCAAAATGCAAAATAATGTCTTTTGGCAGTCACTGAAAATGCTCTGTTATCTGCCACATGGAATCAATTCTACATCTCAAAAAAAGACCAAACAGCAAAATAACACCCCCTTGTTTTGCACCGTGATCACAGAGAACACAGCATGGCCACAGAAATACAGCTCCCCCCATTCGCAGCTTTACCTTCTCCACCCCCAGGCTGGGTTTCACCGTCAGGAGGGGCTGCACCCGCGGGTGGCACAGGGGGCCGGCTCCCCGGCACTCTGTGCCACAGGTTGGGCCTGGCAGGCACGTGGGCACAGGTACCCTTACCTTCCCCAGGGTGCCTCACTTGCAGCAAGCTCACCCTCACAAAACCCCATGGCCACGGGAGCTCTGTTCCAGGCATTTCCCCAAGCATCAGCTTCCATCCTCTGCTCTGGAGAGCCAGCATGCTGCTGCTCCTAAAAATAGATCTAGGTACCTGCTATTGTGACTTAATACCTTACAAGCCTGCCCAGACCTTGTTGATCATTAAATCACATTGAACATCAGAGCATGCTGGGGAGCAGAGCTGTTTCCAAACTCAGTGGCAAAATAGCTCAGGGACAGTGGGTGGCTGGGGCAGCTTCCATGGGACCTGTCCCTGAGTGAGAGCTGCACGACTGGCTCCATCCGGAGCCACAGGAATTAAAACCAGTTGTTGTTATTTGGCCTCTTAGAGTGAGAAGGGGGGGCAAAAAGAAACAACAAAAATACCGAAAACAAAAACAAACAAACAAACAAAACACCAAGAAAACCCACACAGGAAATAAACGCCCATGTTTGGGAAACCGCAGCTGCAGTAGGACTGAGCCGTTTGTGCGCCCTGCCCTGCCCTGCTCGAAACGCGGCAAAATGAAAGTGCCCGCACCCCCGGGGCTCCCGGCCCGGGCAGCTCCGGCTGCGGGGCAGCTCCGGCTGCGGGGCAGCAGCGCTCACGCACACCAGCTTGGCACACCCCGTGCGTCCCTACAGCCACGCTGGGCCCACCACATCTGCCCCCGAAAATCGGCACACCGCTCCGGGACCTCGCTGGCAGCAGATGCAGCTGGTGGAGAGTTTAAAAAATAGCAATTTGCCGTCCAGCAGAGGCTGGAAATGGCGAGTGCAGCCGCAGCAGGAGGCGGCTGGGTGTGCCCAGGCACCTCACACGCAGCCCCACAGGAAGGGTGGGTCGGCCGGGACCGTGAGAAGATGCAGGTGCAGGAACGGGGCTGTGGCAGGTCCCTTCTTTGCCAGTGCACGCTCAGGGAAGGCTCAGCCGGCAGTGCACGGCGATTTCCAGGCGGCGCCTTCCGCAGGGACCCGGGGAGAAGCGCACCGACCCCCTTGGGGCTCCCCGGCCGCTCTCACCGTGGTGTCTGAAGGAAAGCCCACGTCCTGCTCCCCCAGCCCCAGCTGCAACGGCGGCACAGCCCCCCAGGAGCCGCCTCAGCCCCCCAGGAGCCGCCTCAGCCCCCCACCAGTTGGCAGAGCCCCTTTTCCCCAGTGACTCTCCAGCTCGTGATTTTCTTTCCCCCACAACTGCCAAAGCACAAGCAGAAAAAAGACAGAGCAAAGCCCAGCTGGCCCTGAATGCCCTGCCAAGGAGGGTCAGAAGCTCCTGAGATGCCCCCGGGCAGTCCGGGCCCCAGACCCACTGCTCTCAACAGCGACCGCGGGGCAGAGCTGCCCAAGAGATGCGATTTGGCCACTATGAGCCCACATATCACAAAACTTATTTGCACAGAAGTCTATTCAAGTGCTTCCTTCGCCTTTGTAAGTAAAGAAAACCCAATCCGGCCGAGGCAGCTCTCTTGGCTTCAGCAAAGTGTGCGCTCCATCCCAGGGGACCCTGCCAAAAGCTTGGTGCTCCAGCTGCCCTCCCACTGCCCCCGCAGTTACTCAGCATTTCCCCCAGCCGGTCTCGGGCAGCTCCAAGCCCACGGTACCACGTTCCCCTCAAAGCCCGGGGCTGCCACTGTCCAGTCCCAGCCGCTGCAGCCGCTGCGGGACGGGGAGGGTGCACAGCGGCCTTTTGCCCCAAACACCAAACACCATCACACCGTAACAGACTTGGAACAGGCACAAAACACCTCGGAGAGGAGACCTGAAGAGAGGGCAGAGGGAGAACCAGGCCGTTTTCTTCAGCTGTTTCTCTACAGATGAGCACCTCTCAGAGGGAAGAGACAGCAGCTGGACTCGGGGCGCAGGCAGCAGCCGTGCCGCTCTGCTGAGGACAGACAAGGAAGGGATGGCTCCTGGGGTGCCAGTGGTGCTGGGAAGCTGCCCTGGACCAGGAGGGAGCTTGCTGCACGCCCCAAGGTGGCTGTCAGCATCGCTGTCTGGGTGCAGGAGCAGGCAGCAGGGAAAGTAGCGAGGGAAAGTGCAGGGCCGACACTCTTGCAGGTAACCAGGAGCCCCCCAGGAGCCCTCAGGGGGTCCCCTCGCTGCCCATGGCCCGCAGAGCTCACGAGGCTCTGCCGGAGGGCTGAAGCTGTGCCAGGCTTCCCGCGGGCACGGCGGCAGCAGGATCCTTGCCGGCGCTGGCCCGGGTCGGAGGGAAGGGCTGTGCCGGCGAGTCCTGCTCCCGGAGCGGGGCAGGAGAGCTGCTCACACGGCTCCCGGCACGGGGAGGGAGGGAGGGGAAGGCACCCACCAGCCGTAGCCGCCGAAGGAGACGCTGCGCTTCCTCTGGAACATGCCGGTGGCTCGGTGCCGCTGCGGGCGCGGGGCAGCGGCGGTGGGACGCGGCGATCCGGCCCGAGCGCGATCCCTGCGGCGCCGTGCGGGGCGGGGGACCCCGGCACGGCCCCACCGCCGCCCGGCGCTGCAGCGCATGCACACACCAACCCCACAAAAAAAGTCATTTCCTTTTCTTTTCGTGGCCACAGGCTTTTCGCAACCTCACGCTGCAAATATCGTTTTTCTCCTAATGGCAGGACCACCAGCAGTGCCGCATGAGCAGCGGGGCTGAGCCACGGACACCGTGTCACCCACAAACATCGTGTCCTGCGGCTGCCCAGCCACTGAGGCCCGATCCAGAGGGTCACTGGTGGCAGCGTGGTGGTCTGCCTTTTCCTCCCTGGCAGTCACAGCACCAGGCTGGCTCCCTGGTAGGGGAGCCTCCAGTGCCCCTCAGGGACATCCCACTAAAGGCATCAAACCTCGGTAAGCAAAACCCCATCACTTATCTCTCATGGCAAACAGATCCCACCATCCCAGAGCCCAGCAAGGCATCTCCCGCTAGCTCCCATGCAGCTGCCTGTGGCACACAGGTTTCCATCCTCTGGTTCCCTGGCAGCTCTGTAAGGCTGAAGTGGCATTTGCAGCCTGACTACCACTCAAACACCCTTGTCCTTTAGCAGTCAGGCTTCAGAAATCCCACGGAAATGGAAATGCTGACATCTAGCTGGGTATGAGCTCCCATCCATCACAAATCCCCAGAAAACAGATGCTGTTCCCTGCACCCCGCTTCGGGCATTGTAGGGCACAGCAGAGATGTGGGGAGCTGAGCCCGGTTGCAGGGGTGGGCATGGTGCCCAGAGGCTGAGTGTGGTGCCCAGGTGTCCTCACACCTTCCAGCTCCCCAGACCAACCACCAGCACCCACCTGCACCACTCAGAGCTGGGCTGCACCAGGGGATCACCCTCTGCCAGTCCATCTGAGGAGGAGGGCTGGGAATGCCGACCCCCCTTGGCAGGAGGGAGGCAGGGGCAGCTGGGCTGTGCTGGGGCCACAGCACAACACCACAGCCAGGACACAATGAGCTGCTCAACCACGCATGCTCTGCCATGCCCATGGGATCCAGGAGCCCGTGTCCCAGAGCCACTCAGCTCAGAGGCCAGAAAGAGCCTCTGACTGCCAGATCACTCACCTCCTGCCCCAGTGATCCAAGGCAATGCCTGGGGTGGACTCACAGCATCGCCTTGCCCTGGCAGTCCGTGCAGTGCTGCCTCCTGGGTCACAGGCAGTTCTAGCCCAGCGTTCTCTACAAGCACCCAAAAGCTTTAAATTGAGAGGCACTTGAATTCTGTCTGATGTGTGAAAAAAAGGGATGGGGGAGAGAGCGTATAAGGAGCTGGAGAGATAAATCACTCAACTCCAGAGAAAAAACTTGGACTGAAATCCAGCTATTTCAACTCCTACTTTTCTGCCCACAGCCTTAAAGGGATGAAACTATGGAAATTCTTTTAAATTTAGAGCTCTTAAGGACATTATTAAAAAAAAAAAAAAAAAAAAAAAGAAAAGCTGCAGGCTTTGAAGCCATAATTCAGGTGTTACAAAATATCTGGAGCAGTCATTTGCTTGGAACACATTTGTTCCTGGCCTGCATGATCTGTGTCAAAGCTCTGCACCAACAGCAGTGTGATGTTATCCTCTCACTTCATCTTCCCCCAGGTCATGTCTTCCTTACACTC